TGTTAAGTCTCTCTAGTTCCCCCGAGGAAAAAGATAATGACTCAAAGAGTCGGCAAAACATGAGCCAAAAGGAGAAAAATTGAGTGCTTAAGGAAAGATGAACCCGTTCCTATTCCAACATTCCCTACACCTGTCCAATAAGACTTCATTACATTCGGAAAAAGCCCTACGTGATTTCAAGTCGAGTGGACTTACATTAGTGGTGATTTACATGAGGGGCAAGCATGTGGTACCTAGAGCCGTACTTGTGACATTCTTTTGAGAGAGATGAGCGAACTTTTCACAAATCCTTGAATTGAGTGCTACAATATTAAGTGAGATATGCTAACAGAGAGTAGAGGAGGAGGAGTTTGGGATCCACAATGACCTACATGAGAGAGCGAGCTTCCTTGATGAATAAAGTCAACTCTTGATGCTCTAGTGTCATATTTGAACTATTGTACTTGAAAAGTCAAATCATTGCCTTGTTGATAATTCATAAGTGTTGTGGGTAATTGTTGGTCCCAATTGATGTGTGTTTGATTCACCTTAGGCTAGCTGAAATAGATCATTTCTTGTGGAGGTGATAATTACCTTATTTTCTTAAGGACAAGCAAAAGTTTAAGTTTGGGGGAGTTGATAAGTAGGGATTTTGACTACTTATTTGCACCCTTTTACTTTTGTTTTAGCTCAAAAATGCTTAAAGGTATTCCCGAGAACTGATAAAATGTGCTTACTTGCAGGATTATTGGAAAATAAGCCAAAGAGATGAAAATCAACTCAAGAAGGAGTAATTTTGGACAAGGACTAAAACAAAGTAAAAAGAGCAAAGTGCGGACCGCACAGTATTGTGTGTGGCCGTAGAGCATGAAGAGACCTCTGATAGATTTTCTTTGCAAAGTGCGGACCGCACAATTATTGTGCGGCCACAGAAGATGAGGTTCAGAGAGATGTGATTTTGCTCCATGAAGAAGTGCGGACCGCACCATTATTGTGCGGCCGCACTCAGAAATATGCGGTCCGCATAAGTCTCTCATGTCAAAGCTCGAACTCAAGAGTGCGGCCGCACTCATAGATGTGCAATCCGCTGAATCAAAAGAAGTGCGGACGCAAAAGTCCATTCTGTCAATCCAACATCAAAGTGCGGACCGCACACAAAATTGTGCGGCCGCAAAACCTCCGCTGGGGCAATTTTGTCTGATAATTTCAGCTGTGTATAAATAGTCTTTTTTCTCAAAATTAGGTCAAGTTTTGAACACCAGTAAGTAGATAGCCGTCTTTCCTTTACTGCTTTGGGTAACTTTGTGATAGTTTATCATTTTAACATTGGATTTTCTCACCTTTATCATCTAATATGAGTTTAATCTTATTTTCTTCTCTAGTTTCTTCAATTTTCTCTATGAGTAGCTAAATTTCTAGCTAGGGTTGTGACCCAACCCTAGTGTGCGTACAAAATGGGTGTTTGGTTTAGGGCTTATTTGTGAGTGGGTGAGTGATATTTAGCCTAGTTCATGCTTGAATTTAAGAATTAATGGTTGCAAACATTGATTCATGCCTGATTGACTTAGTTTCTACTTGAGAAAGAGAGACTAAGTCTAGGAAAACTTGGCTAACAAGGAATTGGGGTGAACTCAAGAAATTGATAGCCCCAATTAAAGGGTTGAATCTAGAGATAGTAAGACCCGACTTGAGCATCTATCACTTGTTTTGTGAATTACCCATTTGGACTTGAGAAAGCCAAATTGGGCAACACTACTCTAACTACCGAGATGCATCGAGTGGGTAATTGCGTGTGATTGCTATATTACACTCCAACCAAGCAAAATATCCCTAAAGCCTACAATCTGTTAGGTAACCACCTAGGTGGAAGTCACGACCCTAGATCTTTTATAAACTTGAAATCCAACAACACCAAAAATATCAGTCTCTAGCTTTTCATTTGCAAACATTAGCATAAAAATTAGAAGTAGAAAGAAACAATGAAACATGTGGAAGTGCATATTGGGCACGTCATACACTTAGTCTAGATATATACCTAATCTAATATAAGCTCTCTGTGGAATCGACCCTGACTCACGTTGGGTAATTATAATTGCAACGACCGCTTCACAATCCCAATTAGTGGTGTGAATTTGGGCGACATCAATCACGTTTGGATCACCTTGAGGAGCATTTGCTCTACTTTTCCATGCCGATGAAGTATCCGTCATTTTATCTAAAATCTCACAAGCTTCCGCATATGGCATTGTCATGAAATTTCCACCGGCAAGTTGGTTGACCACGCATTGATTGGTAGTATTGACCCCCCAATAGAAAGTTTGTTGAATCATAGCCTCCGTCATGTCATTATTTGGGAACACTTTCACCATTGTTCGGTACCTCTCCCATATTTCATGCAACGACTCATTGGGCTCTGTTTGAATGCTAAAATCTCGTCTCTAAGAGTAGCCATATGCCCGGGAAAAAAGAACTTGGAATTAAATTTCTCCGCCAATTCATCCCATGTATGGATGGAATGGTTTGGCAATCTCTCTAACCTATCCAAGGCTTTCCCTCGTGGAGAGAAAGGAAATAGCCCCAACCTTAAAGCATCCTCAAAGACATTTGTTTGTTTACTCCCCCAACAAGTGTCCACAAACCCCTTCAAGTGTTTGTATGCATTTTGACTCGGAGCCCCGGTGAAGAGTCCACGTTTCTCTAGCAATGTGAGCATTACAATCGTGATTTAAAAGTTGCCCGCCCTAATGCGGGCCGGAACTATGGCAATGGCAACGGCGCCAAAAATTGATCACGCCCAAATGCACGCCTCTAACGAGGTATGACAAGGTCGTTTAAAATAATAAATTCCAACATGGAGTCGGGATCGAATCCACAGGAAGCTAAGATGGGAGTTAGTAGTATATATTTGGAGTGAGAACGTGAAGTATCTAGACTGTACTTCCACAAATAGGGTATTGTTTTTACTTCTAAAATTAACTAAGGATTGCAAATCTAAAGGTATAAAACTAGAGATGATTGTTTTTGGATGTTTTTTAAAGATATAAAAAGGCCTACGGCTGTGACCATGACCTAGGTGTTTGCCTAATGGGATAAAGACTTTTATGTTGTTTTATTGATTGGGGTGTTTTATAGCTCACAACACTACGTTGCCAACTCAATACCTCTCGGTTAGAGAGTGGTTTTGCCCAATTTGGCTTTCTCAAGTCCAAATGGGTGTCTACCAAAATGGTTGATAAGAGCTCAAGTCAGGTTATTACTATCTCTAGGTTGAACACTTTAATTGGGTTAATCAATCTCTCAATTACCCAATTCCTTGTTAGCTAAGTTAACCTAGACGAGGTCTCTCTTTCTCAAGAAGAAACTAAGTCAAATAGGCATGAATCAATGTTTGCAACCATTAATTCCACAATTGAAGCATGAACCTAGCTAAATAACCAACACCTATTCATAAACAAGCATAAAATTAATCACCCATAAGATTTACACACTAGGGTTGGGTCACAACCCTAGTAAAAATATAGCTACTTATAATGGGCGTAGTAGAAAATAAAGAAGAAGAGATAATAAAACTCATATTGAAAGATTAAAATATAGAAACCCAACATTAAATCACCAAAATAAGCTAAAGTTGCCTAAAGGAGAAAAGAGAAACGGCTACAGCACTTTGAATATTCAAAACAAGATCTAAAAAAGTGAAACTATTCTATTTATACAAAGCTGGAATTTTTGGACAAAAATGCCCTTTTGGATGTTCTGCGGCTGCACAATTCCATGTGCGGTCCGCACATTGCTTCAGCTTAACAGGACTTGGATCTTGCAGCCAAATAATTCTGAACTCTGGCCACATCTCTCATTTTTTGCGGTTCGCGCATTTCTGGGTGCGACCGCTCAAGGCTCTTCTGCTGACCGCACAAATGCACTTGCGACCGCATAGATGATCTTCTGCGGCCGCACAATAATTGTGCCATCCGCACTTCCTTTGATATTGAAATGAAAACATTCTAAACTTCTGCTCTTGCTTAGCTTCTGCGGTCGCACATTTCATGTGCGGACCGCATTTCTCACAGTCCTCTGATATGAATGTCATCACAATCTGCGCCCGCAGATGGAAATCTGCGGTTCGCACTTTGAGCTTCTGTTCTTATTTTTGTCCTTGAGTTCAGATCACTCCTTCTTGAGTTGGATTTCATCTTAGTGGCTCATTTTCCAATACTCCTGCAATTATGCATATTTCATCAGTTTTCGGGAACACAATTAAATGCTTTTGGACTAAAACGAAAGCTAAAAGGCGCTAATAAGTAATCAAAAACCCCAGTTATCAAGCAGAGGGATTTTTCGAAGCTTTTGCCATTAGGGAGTTTGAGTGAAGGTGGTACAAACAAGACTCAAAGAAGAAGCGGACTTATAGAGATGGAGGGAGGAGTGAAGAGACGAGACTGAATCAACGTGATTGATGGGACAGAGAAAGGCAACCGACACGACTGATTGATTTAGTTTCCATCTCGGTAAACCAAAAAGGCGGAAATAAATGCAAAAGACGGAGGCTCATGATTAATGTTGCAGGAAGTAATAATGAAGTACACGGTACAAAAGATTTACCAAGGCTATTAAGACACGAAATCTTTGATTAGTACCAAAATTTCAATGCCTTATTTTGAAAAAAGTAATAATACCAAGTAAATCCCTAAGGGTTTGAAACTTGTTCTCTAGAAGAGGCTTAGTAAAAATATCAGCTAATTGATTTTAGTGCTAACAAACGATAATTCAATGTCACCCTTAAAAATATGGTCACTAATGAAATGATGCTTGATATCTATATGCTTTGCTCTAGAATGATGCACTAAATTTTTTGAAAGGCATATGGCACTAGAATCATCACAGAAACTTTTAACAGGCTTAAACGAAAGATCATAGTCACTTAGTTGATGAGTCATCCAAAGTAGTTGAGCACAACATTGTCCAATGGCAATGTATTCAGCTTCAGTTGTAGATAATGCAACTGATCCATGCTTTTTACTGTTCTAGAAAATAAGCGATTTTCCAAGTTGTTGACATGTTCCACTTGTGCTTTTCGTGTCATCTTTATCTCCTGCAAAATCTGCATTTGAAAAGCCTTCAAGCTTAAAATTATTAAGACGTGGATACCATAATCCATGTGATGTAGTTCCAATCAGATATCTAATAATTCGTTTCACATATGCTAAATGTGACTCCTTTGGAGCTGCTTGGAACTTGGCACATCTGCACACACTAAACATTATGTCAGGACGTCTAGCAATTAAATAAAGTAGAGATCCAATAATTGTGCGATATTTTGATTCATCCACTAGTTTTCCTTCCTCATCTTTGTCAAGAGATACAGTTGGACTCATAGGAGTCCCAAGTGCCTTGGCATTGCTCATTTCGAATTTTTGTATCAGCTCCTTCATGTACTTTGTCTGACATATAAAGATTCCTTCATCTAATTGATGAATTTGAAGTCCAAGGAAGAAAGTCAGTTCTCCCATCATGCTTATTTCAAACTCACTTTGCATGAGATGTGAGAATTCCTTGCATAGAACAAGGGTTAGCACTTCCAAATATAGTATCATCAACATAGATTTGCATAATGAGATTTTCTGAAGATGACCTTTTGATGAAGAGGGTAGTATCAATCTAACCTCTTGAGAATCTATGACTAACAAAAGATGAGCTTAGTCTTTCATACCAAGCTCTAGGTGTTTATTTTAGCCCATAGAGAGCCTTAGTCAAATTAAACATGTGATAAGGAAACTGTGAGTTTTCAAAACTAAGAGGTTGTTTAACATAAACCTCGTCATCAATGAAGCCATTTAAAAACGCGCTTTTAACATACATTTGAAATAATTTAAAACCTTTAAAAGAAGCATATGCTAGTAATATATGAATTGATTCTAACCCTGCTACCGGAGCAAAGGTTTCATCATAGTCGACTCCTTCCTATTGAGAGTAGCCCTGAGCGACTAGCCTTGGTTTGTTCCGAATAACTTTACCTTCTTCATTCAGTTTTTTTCTGAATACCCACTTGGTTCATACTATATTTTGCATTTACTGGTTTGGGCACCAATGTCCAAACTTGATTTTTGTCAAATGGATCAAGTTCTTCTTGTATAGCCTGTATCTAAATTGAGTCTTTCAGAGCTTCATCAACTTTCTTTGGCTCTATTTGGGATATGAGTGCAATGTTAGCCTTTTTCTTTAGAGCCCCTCTTGCTTTCATTCCATCAGTTCGATTTCCAATGATAAACTTCTTGGGATATTCTAGTTCGCTTCTCCATTCGTTTGGTGCTACTTCAGTACCTTGAGTAGTCGACTCATTCTGAGGTTGATCATGCTCACTGATGTCTTCATTAGTCAACTGTGGGATTTCAGTTGTACTGTCAACAGATTCTTTTGAAATAATTTGTTCATGATCTTCAGTTGATTTTGACTGATCTCTTCATCACCTGCAAGATCTACTTTCTCAGCCACAGAGTTATTATCATAAAAAATAACATGAATTGATTCTTCTACGCATAAGGTATGCTTATTATAGATTCAAAAAGATCTACTATTATTTGAGTAATCGAGAAATATACCTTCATCACTTCTTGGGTCAAACTTACCAAGATTATCTTTACCATTATCGTGGACAAGGCATTTGCTTCAAAGGGGATGAGAATATCCAACGTTTGGTTTCATACCTTTCCATAATTCATATGGAGTCTTCTTTAAAATAGGTCGGATTAAGCACCTATTGAGAATGTGACATGTACTCACTGCTTCTGCCCAGAAGTGATTTGGTAGGGAATGTCCTAGTATCATGGTTCTCGCCATATCCTGCAGAGTTCTGTTTTTACGTTAAACCACTCCATTTTGTTGCGGTGACCTTAGTGATGAGAAATTATGAGTGTATCCTTGATCATTGCAGAATGCCTCAAATGCTCTACTTTCAAATTCTTCTCCATGATCACTTTGAATAGTTGAAATAAGGTACTCCTTTTCTCTTTCAATATTTTTGCAGAAAATCTCAAAGTTCTTTAGAGCTTCATCTTTGTGAGCCAGAAATATTACTTATGTAAAACGTGAGTATTCATCCACAATAACAAAGACATACATTTTTCTTCCTATACTAGCAGTTCTAGTTAGTCCAAACAAGTCCATATGTAGTAGTTGAAGAGGCTTGCTAGTAGAAACAATATCCTTGGGTTTGAAAGAGTTTCTAGTTTGCTTACCAAGCTAACATGCATCATATACATGGTTTCTAGAGTAGTTTAGCTTAGGAAGACCAATGACCAAATCATATTTGGGGAGTTCTTCAATCAAATACATGCTGACATGAGCAAGCTTTTTATGCTAAAGCCAGGGATCATCAGTAAGGGATGCAAGACAGACATGACTTTCCAAATTAGAAATGCAATCTAAAATGTAGACATTTCCATACCTCTTTCTTGGAAGAATTATTTTACCCGATTCATCTTCAACGGCAGAATCAGTTTTGTTGAATTTCACTTCATATCCAGAATCACATGGTTGGCTGATGCTTAGCAGATTGTAATTTAGTCCCTCTACAAGATAAACTTCAGTGATGTCACAGTTGTTGCTAAACGGAAGAGTTCAGGTACTGATAATTTTTCCTTTTGAATCATCGCCAAACTTAACATTTTCTCCATTTATTTTGGTAACTTCCTTGAAGAGATTTTTGTCACCCGTCATGTGGCTCGAACACGCACTATCAAGATACCATTTTTCTTTTTGACTTTTCCTATGATGTTCCTGCAATATTATTACCTACTTTTAGGTACCCAAGCTTGCTTGGGTCCTTATTGGTTGGTTCTACCAGGGTCAGTGCTATTTTTTGGTTTCCAAATCCATCCCGAGACATTTAATTTACAGAATCCACAAAAGGAATATTGTGTCTCTCCCTATTACAGTAATGACACACAAGTGTTGATCTAGTCTTTGACCTTCCACTTGTGTTAGTACTTGTGGACTCTGTTCTAGCATGTCCTTTTTTCAGTTGACTTGTAAGTCGCTTAGTTGGACTTGACAGAACTGTGACTGGTGGACTTGCACATGCCATTAAGTTGCATTTGCAATTCCTAAACCTCATCTTGAAGTACATATCTTTCGATCTCACATACTTCAAGTGTAAGTTCCCAGTCCTTATTTTTCCTATTGAGTCTCTTTAATTCATTTAGCAATTTTTGAGACTCTTTTAGGGTAAGATCAACAATATCCTGCAATTATAAGATCTTACCTCACTTGTTTTACCTCATTCCGTGAAGCAATTTTCAGTGTCTTCTTTACAGTCGTCGTCTGATGTATCTTCATCAGTCCAGCATCTAGAGTATTTGTTCATATCATTTTCTAAAATCGTCATGAAACATAGATTTGCTATTTCTTCATGTTCTGAACTGTCTTCATCGCTCCAGCTTCTGAAAGATTTGTTTTTGTTGAACCCTCTGGAGACTTTCCTCTTAAGATCTGGGCATTCAGCTTGAACATGGCCATACCTTCAACATTCAAAGCATTTTTCGTCATTTTTGTCTTGTTCACTGTATTGCCTGGTTCGTCTAGAGGACATCTATCCCTTCTTTGTGTTTTTGTACCTTCTCATCAATCCATTCATGTTTCTTGATACCATGGCAATTTCTTCTTCAAGAGCTTCTAGATAATCATCAACATCATTTTCAGGACCTTCAGTTGTAGTTTTGAAGGCAACTGTTTTCTTCTTTTCTTCTTGACGGGTTTTCTTGAGATGTGTTTTCTCAAATGCTATAAGATCTCCTCGTAGTTCATCATATGAAAGTTTGTCTAGATCTTGAGATTCGAATGCAACTACCATTGTCTGTCATGTAGTAGGCAAATTTCACAAGATTTTTCGAACATGATCGCCACTTGAGTAGGGTTTACCAAAGGCTTTCAGATCGCCAAGGATTATGCCGAATCTTGAAAAAAATCTCCTCAATGGATTCTCCTTCTTTCATCTGGAAGAGTTCATAATAGTGAACCAACATATTTATCCGGATTTCTTTCACTTTGCTGGTTCCTTCATAGGCAACTTCGAGTTTATCGAACATTTCCTAGCCGGTATCACAACATGAAATTTTCTCGTACTCTTCTCCACTAATAATATTATAAAGCAAGTTCCGTGCCTTAACATTAACTTGAACAACAACCATTTGCTCGTCTGTAAATTCATCTATATCTTCAGGGTCAGCGGGTGGTTGAGCTGTTGCTGGTAGTGGATAATTTTTCTTTCGATAACATGTCATACTTTGACATCATAGGACTTTGCAAATTTTGATGCGCACTTTCTAGTAAGAAAAGTTTTGTCCATTGAAATATGGTGGCCTTAAATGCGACATTCCCTCTTGAAAGAGTGCTCCAATAGTTACTTGATTTGCCATCATCTTTTCTCACAAGTTGTTAAGCAAAAACGTAAGACCCGCTCTGATACCAATTGAAAGTGCAAGAGGGGGGTGAATCATAATTTTTCTTTTTCTTTTACGAGGTAGTAGACTAACTTGCGTTTTAGTCGACTGGACTTTTGATATGAGATGTAAATTAAATACAAGAATTTAAACTGCATAAAATAAATGACACAGGATGTCTTATATTGGTTCAAATTCAAAATAAATCCTATGTCCAGCCCCCTTGGGTTGCAAGGGTTTTCTCTTTCAAGTATGATGTTTCTTAGTACATATGGGTTGATGTTGTTATAAACCAACAACTTTCTCACTTTGTTCTTTCCTCTTTTCTTAATACAATACCTCACTGGTGATGTTTCTCTCTTTTTACTCTCCCTAGTTACGCAGTAAATCTATAGCAGATTAAAATGCTTGTTTGAATTAGAACAAAGAGATTGATATTGGTCGCTCAAAATATGTCCTTCCTTTGCATCTTCTGTAGTATATATGAGAGTTGGTCTCCATTCTTCACGGCGTGATTGTTCCACGGCTGAAAGGCAACCCAAGGGAGGTTATTTTCATACTCAATCAAGATGATTTTCTTCCAAATAGAATAGAACTTCTTTTCGTTGCTTCCTTGATTTCCTTTTCTTTGAAAGCCGTTGAGATTGAATATTCTTTGTGATGCGTGATTGAATACTTACTGATTGATCTTCTATACTGATTGATTGTCTATACTGATTGATTGATCTTCTATACCGATTGATTGATACCTTCCTTAAATAGCTGAATCAAATATCTGTTTTTCATGAAACTCACAATCACATCATATTTACTCCTTGATTCTTGCTTCTAGATCTTGAATCGCACGTTTGACTCCTTGATTCGTGCTTTCAGATCTTCTGCTATAATCTTTCCAATTCTTCTGAGTTCCTTCCTTTGGGATTGGTTTCCTGCTATTATAATTAAGTTATTGTCTATCATTAAAACATATATCTAACAGAATATCAGTTTGTAACTTCGTATTGAAATTTTCTATTCCCTTTGTCCCAATATATGTTTCACAGTTCGAATTTTGAGAATTAACTTCTTAATCT